AAAAAATAGATGGTATTCTTGCATGCTGGGCTACTGGAGCATCTCCTGTCCTGATTTGCACCCTGCCTGCTCTGTACAAAGCAGCCTCAGCAGGCAGGAGTGAGGAGGACATACCAGAGAGCAGCGCAAGGCCCTTGCCTTCTGTTGCAATGGCAGCAGGTCTGGACCACCTTCTCCTGTCTGCGAGCACACCTGTAAATGTGGCTTCCCTCTCTATTTCCCCTTACATCCCTTCTTGGCAGCCTTGGGCTTCCCACAGCTCATGGGTCAAGAGCTGCAGCTGCTGCCACCATTGCCCAGGTCAGAGCAGCCCCTTTCCTACAGGTTGAGAGCTACGGCCCCAGGGCTCAGGGCTGGCGGGACAGGGCAGCAGAGTGGGATCAGAGGGGCTCTGATTTGTGAGGAGGGGTGCCACGGGCACAGGTACCACATCAGGGAGGCAGGAGGGAAGGCACAGTGCTTGGAAAGCCAGCATGATCTCAGTGCTCCCTCGCAAAGCCCTCCAAAATGTGTTTCTGGGGATGCGGGGTGATGACAAGACCAGACATCAGCTGCACGCCTGTTGTGGGATGTCAGGGAAAGCCAGACGTTGGCAGAGCTTGTCCCAGAGGCGATTGATGCTCGGAGTAGCGTTGCCCGCGGGGTTAGCTGAGGACAGGAGCAGAAGACAGCAGGACGTGCTCAGCGAGCAAGAGCTGCAATGCTGCGCTCCAGCCAGAGGAGGAACATGAACTCAGAAATCAGCCGGCTCCCCATCCTTGCAACATATATTTTCCCGGCTCCCCAGTAAGCTGCAGCACTTTTTTCGTCACCTGACTCCACAGGTTTATGCAGCTTTCTTGGTTGTTGTCTCATAGATAAAACCCTCCGATTTTTTGCAGCATCTGCTGCTTTCTGGTTTCTTATGCAGTCCCTGCTCTGCAGCCCCGTGAGGAAGAGCAGTGCGGAGCTCTGGGTGCCGACGGAGGAGATGGCCACCACTCTGCTGCCACCCCACACCTCCTTGGCCAGCTCCTGCCAAATCCCCTCCCTTTCACTACGGCTACCTCCTGCTAAAAAAATAAAAATAAAATTAAAAAATGCATTGGACCAAGTCTGTCTGTAGACTTGGCAGTGTTGTGAGCACTGCTCCCTGCTGCGCTGTCTGAATCCAGATTTGTGCAACTTCCGTGAGCGGCTGTAACGCGCGGAGGGAAGGCACGGTGGTACGAGTTGGTGTCCATTAGCAGCGTGCAGGTTGCTTTTTCTTTTAAGGCCCCGGGAAGCGATGACTCCCGAGATCTTGCCATTAACACTAATGCATTTTTGATTAGTCTGTCGCAGTGGGGGACCCTTGACTCTCAGGACCAAGAGCAAAACAAAGCCAGCAGGTGCCCAGCGGCACCGCCCCTGGCCTCGGTGGCATAAACCACCCATCTAACATGCTGCTTACCAACAATGTCTGCGAATTAAATTCCTTGTTCAGACGGGATCCCAGGAGAGACTCCTACGTACTGAAACCCACTGCATTACCCTGCCTGCACCGCGGGCTGTGTGTGCTGGTGCGCAGGGTAGCGATCATGGATACAGCTGCTTTTCCAGCAGCTGTTGGCCCCGGCATTGCAAACTGACTCCGTTTGGTTCTGCAGAGCTCCCCCCTCCCTGCGACGTTTTCTGTACGAGCGAGCGAACGTGGCTCCTGAAGGAGAAGTACAGAATGTGCTCTGCTAGCGCGCTGACAAAAATTGATCTCTGCTTTAATTAAAGCCTCTATTGTAAGTGACCTCGGGCTGCTAACGCGTTTTAAAAATGAAGCCTTGCCAGCAGCAAATCCACAGCCCCCAATACGGAGTTGCTGCTGGGCGGTGATCCATGCCACCGGGCGGCTGGTCCCCCTCCACGCCCGCCAGGCATGCAGTCAGCTCCACGTCCCTGAGGCCATCCCACCTCCCATGCATACACCCACCCACTTCCCACCCTGAACCCCTCGTGCCCAGGCGGGACGCAGAGCTGATGCCCTCAGCTGCTGTCAGGGATAAAAGCTCATCCTGCCACCATCTCGTGCGATGGTCCCTGTTTCCGCAAGGTTGGCTTCTCCCTCCTCCAGCACTTGGCCACAGCATGCTCTCATCTTCACTGTGTGTTGTGGGGGATGCTGCCACCAAGACCCCTCATGATTCCTGAGCGAGGGGCCCAGAAAACAGAAAAGAAAAGGAAGCATTCCGCTCCAGGGTGAACAGCAAGGGGATCCTTGGGGAATGGCCACACACCCTCCCCTTGCGCAGGGCAGCGCTGGGGCGATGGACTCCCCAGTGTGATGGCCCCCAGCGTGCAGTGTCACATCAGCCTCAGCCAGGGAAAAATAAATTGCGTGTAGCTAAAGGCTTGTAAGCTGGAGGAGGTGCGGTCACTTGCAATGAACTGATCTGAAAGGGAAAG